GTCCAGGGGGTTGCAAATGGGTCGGACACGATTTTGCAACTAACAACAACAACAGAATCTGTCCTGGTCACCGGGATCAGAGATTTAATCTTCCAAGCTTCTGAGCTTGTGCTGGAGCCGATCCTCGGGGAAACGTCTCTCCAGTAAATCCAATATTCAGATGTCCTCCTCCATTATTCTTCCCTAAACACGCAAAATAATTCATTCTTTTAGCCATGTGCTGATGTCCAGCCATTGCCATAGCACTGAGGAATGGTTTTTCTCAGCTCGCAAGCTGTCAAGTGGCTTCAGACGGCATCTCAGGAAGGTGTTGGGTGAAGCATGCATCACATACTGCATCATTTCAAAAGCAGGCAACTGGAAGGGGTATAGCAGTAAGTCACAGGAAGTGATTAGAATGGACTGTTTGGAAGCCTGGTGGGCCCACCAACAAGTTCTTCTTTTCCTCTTTTAATTACAGTCAAACATGTCTCCTTTGCCTCATTTAAATTTGTATGTTGCTGAATTTTCTAGGCTGGACTTCCATCTTCCCTCCCTCCCTCCCTCCTTCACTTTCTTTCTTCCTTCCCTCCCTCTCTCCCTTCCTTCCTTCCTCCTTCCTTCTCTTTCTTTCTTTTTCTTTCTCTCTCTTTTCTTATTCTTTCTTTCTTTACTTACTTACTTGTGAGCAGGTAGAAAAACTAAAGAAAAATAAAGATAAGAAGTGGCTTACAATTTTTTTTACTGCAGTTCCAAATAAATATATTATCCACCCCCCTTTAAAGTTACATCATAATTCCCTCTCTCTCCATGTTTTACTCTTTCTAATTATTATCAAATTCATTCATCATCCATTCATTATTTTTCTGTTTCTGCAAAGAGGCCTACAGCTTCATCGTAAACAGTTTCCAGTGAATGGCAAATGTACTTGTTGTCTTTTCCTTAATCAAACAAGTCAATGTTGCTTCTTGGTCTTTATTTCTTAGCTTCACTTGATGGCAAATTCCATCCATCTGTTCCTCCCTTTTGAAAACAAATTGTGGCCCCTTTCATTCATCTTGTGTCTCCCAACCTTTTCCTGGACTTCAGTTCTCTTTTCTCCCATGGAAAAGAGCATGTTGCTTCCTCTGGTGTAAACGCAACGATTTTCCTACCCCCAAATAAAAAGTTTACACGATTAGTTGACCCTCAGAGGTGTCTGCAGGATATGATCAAAGCATCAAGGTAGGAATTGTAATGGTGCAGCTGCCCCCATTTTTCATCTGCATCGTACTGACATCCCTGGATGGTAAAGTTTGAGAAGGAGCTCTTAGATTCCTGGAGTCTCTGGTGAGAAGATTAGTCTGTGTGATGGATTTGATGATGGACGTATTCCTGAGCAAACACACAAGATGTCATTCGCCTCTACCAACCAAGTGTCCTTTAGAGAGGTTAAGAATACAATTCCACAAATTCCACACCAGCATAGTTGCCAGCAAATCATGCGGCAGGCGGGAGAAACCAATTTGTAACAAACTTGTATGAGTTCCTTTCTGCAATTTAAGAGCCTTGTACGTGTTGTTAGTTGCAAAGTTATGTCTGACCCATTGCAACCCGATAGACAATGTTCCTCCAGGCCTTCCTGTCCTCTACCATCTTCTGGAGTCCATTTAAGCTCACGCCGACTGCTTCAGGGACTCCATCCAGCCTCCTCCTTCTCTGCCGTCCTCTTCTTCTTCTGTTGCCCTCAATCGTTCCCAGCATTGGGCTCTTCTCCAGGGAGTCCTTCCTTCTCATGAGGTGGCCAACGTCTTTGAGTTTCCTCTTCAGGATCTGGCCTTCTCAAGAACATGTACATGTTAGGTCTACCAAATAACAGAACAACAGAGTTGGAAGGGACCTCAGAGGTCTTCTAGTCCAACCCCCTGCTCAAGCAAGAGACCTTGTACCATTCCACACAAATGGTTGTGATGTCTTTTCTTGAAAACCTCCAATGATGGAGTACTCATAACTTCTGAAGGCAAGTCATTCCACTGGTTGATTGTTCTCACTGTCGGGAAATTTCTCCTTAGTTCTAAGGAATTCTTAGTTCTCTTTTTGGTCCATCCTGTGTTAATGTTGAAGTAGAACTTAAATGCAAGATATTTGCATTTTGGCAGTTTGTAATCCACAAATATATGTAATAACGATGAATATATATTTTTTAAAAGACGAATAAAAGATAAAAAGAAAAAGAAAATCTCAGCTGGAAAAAAAATAGGAACTCAATGGAGAGTAAAAAATGAAATATCAGCTTGTAGTTACTCATAGTCCTTAAATTATGACCAAGTGACCAACTCAATTTTGCAATCTTTTTGCAGCAGTTGTTAAATGAAGCAGTGGCTCGTTGTGAGCCAATCTTCTCCAAAACTGGAAATAAATGCCAGTTTTCAGCAAACCAGTCATTCAACAAGGCCTGTTAGCAGAGGTGGGATTCTACCAGTTCAGACTGGTTTGAGTGAACTGGTTATTCCGGTGACCATTTGGCCTCGTCTGCCCGGCCCAGCCCTTTTATTTCCTTGTTTTTAAGCACAGCTGATTTGCACGGCAGAGCAGTTTGCTGTGCCATCAGCTGTTTTACTCACTGGGCATGCAGTAGAAGGTAAGTATTATAGCTAAAAATTGTCTTTTCTAAATGCTGTGTGTGCACTCACTGAACTGTTTTTTACACTGTTTGAATTGTACCACTGTCTGTTAGATGCTGCAAATAGCCCAAATGCAGGTGTTGAGCACCCAAAGTGGGGGATCAGAACTTCAAATCTGGGCCATAAGTAGCTTTTGGGGAATCTTTGAATGGTCCCTAAGCAGCCATTTGTAAGTTGAGGACTTGTGTGCAGAAGGCATCAAAGAAGACCACATCCAGGAGTTTAATGCAAGGCATATATTTGCCTCCTTCTCTCAGTAGAATTCTTTTATTGGCCAAGTGTGATTGGACACACAAGAAATTTGTCTTGATGCAAAT